GCGTAGAGAGATCCCCAACTCCACTCTTCAGTACTCCTAAATGTACATTGGCAGCATTAAAACGAGCTTTGAAACTAGCAAGTTCAGCTAGAATAATAATAATCCTTGCATTTGATAAAGCACCATTGAGATGTCTCAAAGAGCTTCACAGAATATATACTGTAAAGTGAATTGATTGTATTTTGTGACCAAAATGCAGCAGCCAATTGCAGACAGCAGTGTCCTACAACCAGTCATAAATGGAGTGACCACATTTTTTTTGGAGGGACTATTACCCTCAGAAAGCATTCCGCCAATCGAGTAATAACTGGGCTCCTACTTATTGCAAGGTAAACAGAATGAATTCCAAAGTATCTATTGGGTGATTGGGGGTTTTGTTTTACCTCCTAAACTGGAAATTTCCTCCAAAGCACAAAACATTCTTTGCTTAACACAAAAGCCAAATATTTTATTTTTAAGCAGTCCAGCCGATGGAAATCTGGCGCATTTTTTTAACACAAGTGCAATTTTTCTCTCGTCTCTCTCTCCCTCCCTGTCCTTATAACTTGTTGCATTTTGTACACGCTTTTTAGAGAAAATGGCTACAAGTAGAGTATTACTTTTAGATGCGGACAAAATGTTCCGAGCGTGTGTGACCCTGACCCATAGCATGGGGCAATCAAGCTGTAAAGTTTAATGGAAAAGAGGGGAGAGAGAGAGAGAGAGAGATACTATCTATAGCAGGGGAATACTGGCATTTCTTGAAATGTAACGGACAGCAATTTAACAAGAAGCAGCACAGCACATTGCCATCTGGCAAAGTTTTACTGTAAGTTAAAAGACAACTAACTCCAAACCACAGGATGCAGGATTTTTCCACTTCCGTAGCCTCACACAGTGCTCCCATTGTCACAATAGCTGCTGGGCTGAGAGTTACTCTATCTACAGGGTGTTCATAAAGTCCTGTTACCTCCTGAAAGGCACTATACATATATAATTTTGTTGTTGTTGTTACAAAACAGTGATATAAGACTATGGAGGAGCTGACACATGCGTCAGAGATACATTTCTCCTCCATCATGTTACAGACGATGTTGCACCGAACATGGCGATGAATCTTTATCTGTCATGAAAATGATGGGAACACCGATCCTCTGGACGTCTAAATACAGTTAAACACTTGTACTGAATACAATGAAGTGCTTCTAAATACAATTATCATCATTCTTCTACATGTTTCAGTCGTTGGTCAGTGCCCTGTGTAAAAAAAATGGATTAACAGGACTTTGTGAACCCCTGTACATCAATGGGTACCAAAAAAAACACAACCCCGCCACCCATCCCAGTTGAAATTGATACACAATTCGTTACAGTAATTGGAGAATATGTAGTAAACAGAGATCAGGAGTAAGAACCCTCACTGACCTTCCCCTCTCTAACCATAGGGACAACTGCTGAAGCCAATTGTAGTGCCCCTGAACAGACTGGTGCATACTTCAGTGATTCACTGGGTAAACTTGCTGAGCCAACGGGAGAGCACCCTGAGAGCGACCTTTAAGATCATTTGCCTGAACATACTCGCTTCACATGCCAATCTGGCGAAGAACCAGCTCCTCATCAGCCAAGCAGACCACAGATATCAATACACGATATGTTGTTACATAGTAGCCTTTGCAACCGTTTGGCTTCACTGTGTTAATATAAAATAATAATCCTTGTATTTGATGCAGAGTCTTATCACGTCGTTGAAACGTCTCAAAGCGTTAACAGAATATTTTCTAGAGTGTATTTTGTGGGTGAAACACGGCAGCCAATTGCACACAGCAGTGTCCCACAAATATTTTGGGATTGAGTCACCAAATTATTATTATTTTTGGGGAGAGAGAGATTATTACCCCCAGAAAGCTTTCCACCAATCAACTAACAACCGGGTTCCTACTTACTGTTAGGTAAACAGGGGTGTGACGTAAGGAAACTTGCCTAAGGTTACGCCTGCCCGGAAATCAAACCTGGATCCTCTTGCTTTCGAGGTGAATACTTCAACCACTACGTTATGGAACTCCACATGACATACTGTGATGTGACACAGTAGCCTTTGCAACACTTTGACTTCCCTGCATTAATAAATAATGCAGCCCATTTGCATCGAAAATAGTCTCGAGCTTGCTTCCTCCTGGTGTAATGCAGAACTTTATTTTAATAATAGATTATCCAATTAATAATACAAAAACTCCTTTCTCTTTTCAAGTAGTGCCATGGGGCCTGTGGTGTCAACCTCAGGCTAAGTTGGCAGCACTCTCACCTCCGAGCCACAGAGTGGTGTGTTTCAAGCCCCACGTCGACACTTTGAACTCACATTGTCTAGGCTGACACCCCAGTGCAGTGCTGGCAGTGACTGCATTGTCGGAGGTGCATCTTTTGCGGGGCTGGTAAGCAGGGTCTCCTTTGAACTGAACTGGCTCCAAGATGACCCGTTTGACAACAGGTTGAATATCGGAATCAAGCCAGCCCTCTGTGCTGGTCTCGGTAGTCCCATTCCTGAGCCAGGCGGTTCTGCAGGATTCCAGAGCACTGCTGATGACAGCACAGCCAGACTGGCTCATCGGCTGGACTTGAAAGGGAAGACCAGTCCCATCTGCCTGTTCAGGTGGATGTTAAAGATCCTGTAGGAATACAATGTGAGTTCAAAGTCCAAATGTGGGGTTTGAACCCACAGAATTCTGAATCGGCGGCAAGAGTGTGACCAACTAAGCCAGACTGATGATTGATATCTTGTGTAACGTCCATCCAGCATCGCTGGGGGTGGTGGGGGGAAAGAGTAAGCTACAAGCTGACTGGGAAAATTGGTAAGTTCTGTCTTAGTCAAGTTGAAGAGAATTCTTTAGATTCAGCATTAGATTAAGGGAGCAGTTGCTGAAACTTACATTTGTGATAATTGTTTGAAAAAGCTGGAAGTACAATTGTCATGGCATTATCTTGTGTTTCAAGGCGCTTTCAGATCTGGACACAACTTTATGTCTCTCAGGGTTACATGTGGTAAGTGTAAACTGAAACTTGTTTTGAGAACGACATGACCAAGGCGTGAGAAAACCCTTTACAGCCTGCACTCAGCCTCTCCCCAAAAACAACTCTCCTGGTTATCAGGATTTCTGTAGCAACAAGAACGTTGTTGATCAGTTTAAAGCCAAATACCAAAAGCAATAATCCTTATAATCCTTGCTTTTGGTACAGTGTCTTTCATGTCAGGAGGATGTCTCAAAGCTTTTCCCAGGATCGGTAACAACAATTTGCAGTTACATAGAGCCCCCTCACTCAGGGGTGCTATATAAGGGGTGCAGAGCACTTATGTACTGTAAACTGTATTGACTTTGTTTTGTAGGCAAACATGGTAGCCCATTTGTGCACTACAATGTCCTACAAACAGTAATTAAGTGAATGACCAAGTGAATTAATTACTTGGGAATTATTGGCCAGGATACCTGGAGAACTGAACATGTATCAATCAGTTCTTCCATGACAAAAAACACTGCTGATAAATCCTCATTGCAGATATGTGATGTTACCTATTTTATCACATTGTCCGAGTATGCAGAAGCCTTCAGCAAATTGGTGGGTTCTGTGGGAAGATTGCTTCTAATGCAGAGCATCACATCAGCACTGCATGTGATTGATGTAGTGTAGGCTGTTTTTAAACATCCACCGCAGAAGAATTTGTAATGTGGGGGAGAACTTCATGAGGCTGGACAAGAGGGCTGCTGAAAGCTCCCTGGTTTTGAACTGTCTGAAGGAATGTCAGCTCCATGTAGTCAAATCTGATGTTATCTTGAATTTACAACTTTCCAAACCCAGAGTCAAAACAGATGTGGAGACTGTCTCACTTTGGTTTCTCGTGAATTCTTGAAAGTTAAGTTTGGGCAACATTGCTGACTGTTATGAAATTGTACCCCCATATTCTGAATATTTGTAAAATGACATACCATGGAGTCAGGGACTGTGAGGTGAGGAAGGTTGTACAGAAAAATGAAGGTTTCCACTCCAGTGACTTTGCCTGTAAACTATCTTAACTTGAGTAAACTATCTTAGCTGCACTAGTAACAAGAAAACAATAAATTGGTCATTTTTAATCCACGACTGTTTGTGGGACACCTCTGTGTGCAATTGGCTGCCGCGTTTCGCCCACAAGTATACGGTCAATTCACTTTACAGCATATTCTGTGAAGCGCTTTGACACATCTAGAAGACGTGAAAAGCACTATATCAAATGCAAGGATTATTATAGTACAGCACAGCTGCCATTCCCCCCAAACAATAGCAGGCTGTCAACTCACAATCCAAGCCCATACTTGAAGAATGGCCTTTTGGGCAAGGCTCTCAGGGTCTGAAAACTGAACTATAAAAGTAGTGGCTTTGGAAAAGGGGCTACAATTGACAAATATCTCAAAAGTCTGTCTCTGGGAAGGTCTGGGTTAAATGCTGTTTAACTGCTTCACTTGGTATATTTGTACAGCTGCAGCAACAAACCTCAAGTTTATAAACCTCTCATTACAGGTCGCTGTGTCTTTAGTTTTGCAGGTTTACCACGATGCTCGGCAAGAAACTCCCACAATGAGGTCAGAATGAAACGCCAAACTCATATGGACACCATCTGCCACCTCCCTTTCTCCATCACAGCAATGGATTCTGGCAGAGAATGCACGGTTCCATCTGCCAGCAATTAAAAGGCAGTAAATTGAACTAAGACTCAGGTGAGGTCATAATTGGTGTGACAGCTAAATTTGCAAGTCTAGCTGTGTCCACCACATGAATGTGCAGAAGCATTAACATTATAGTAAATACAAACATGCAGCACTAGTCACTGCGATCGATTCGATCCTAACCCGACCATATTAAGAAGCGCCATGGAGTGAGGGGTCAGGGCACAATCAGGAAAAGAAGAGAATAATCCTGGACCACTGCTACGCACCTCTGATGGAAGTGTCATAATTGTGAGGGCACAAATAAGAACTTTAAAAAAACTGTAACTCCAATAAGCAAAATATATTTTATTGCATTTTTACATGTGCATTATAAATTCATAATAAAATAGGTAATAAATAGTTTATTCATTACATTGTCTTCTAGTTCAAAACTTGCTTTAAACATTCTATTCCTGTGCAAAAGATAAGTACTTTTTCAGAATGACTTAAATTTACCCGGAGACCAATTGGACATCTGGAGTCAATTACTGGAAGGCAAGTGAAACGAATCGCTGGAGGTCACACAAGGATATTCATGTACAAAATGGAAAAGGGAAATACATTCGATTTAATCTAGGACCATCTGTGGTTGATTAGCATGGAGATTCCACTGCACTGTAAGCAGACATGCAGCCCAGGTCATATAATAAGTAATGCAACACATGGGGTTCCAACAGACTGTATTGAACAGCGAATTGAGACCTCAATTCCTTACATGACTGGGTCCCAATGTTAGTCACTCTAGTCAACCCAAGCTACTAACATGTACCTGCTGGCTGCATTGATGGAGCAAGTGTCTCTTTAACGGGAGAGGGGAGCGAAAAGAAAAATCACGCAGTAGGAAGACTGTCAGTCAACAGAATGGATGGATGAAAAGTATATTTGGAACAAAGGTGTACATGATAAACCATGAGTAGTTTAAGTCAATTTTATACTTTGAATACCTATTTATCACCAACCACATATTTAACAGCATAAAGTAAACTTAAACATTAACCAATAACAATTTTACCTGAAATGCAAAAGAAATTCCAACAGCTAAGTGAAATGGTTTAAGGAACTTTGCTAGATTTCCAAGTAGTCTTTCACACAAGTATCTGCATTTCCAATTTTATTGAGTTTTAACCCATTAAAGTTTAGAAACAAATCTTAACAGAGACTTGACAAATGTAATATAAAAAGCACCTCTTACAGGAAGACACGTTCATTAAATTTGGTTTCTACATTGCCGCCTTTGGTGCTTTCAGTTGGAAAAATCGTGACAGAAAGTGCAGATTTCACCTAGAAAGTGGTTCACAATTTTTTATATATAAAAATGCCTTTGGATTTAACAATTCACAGTAATTCTATGAGGCTAGTCTGGATTACAATAAATCTCTTTTCACACTTCTCTTCCAACAGCCAATACTGTGGCTATCAAGCACTGTACCATGGAATGAGAGAGCATCCGGAAATTCAGACAGGGTCGAAAAGTTTAAGCAGGGCACCCACGGCTCCGAAGTAACCCTGCAAGAAGGAAACATACTATTCCTTTATTATAACACATACAACATGAAAGCTTCCAATGAAAATGCTCACAAAAACATATTTTCCTTGTACTGAATATGTCAAAGTCATTCATAAAAACAGCCAAAAGTCACACACATCCAAGTTTTACAAAAAGTCTTATAAAATCATTTGTATTGTAGTTCAATTTACATTTGTGCTATTCAATACAGTCAATTCTAAAAGCTGTGTTGTCTGCTGTCAAAGTTGTTTGGCCGAATACAAAAGAGGCAATACACAATTCTTAGCAAGTTAAAGTTAAATTGCCTACATTTTGTAGGCACTTCAATGGCTACAGAATGTATTGGAGAAGAAATACTTTATTTTAGGTTTGCTCTCTCATATCATCTTCCAACATGCACCAAAACAGCATTCAAGCTGGAAAGGCAAACTGCTCTCAGCATTTGCCAATGCCTCTTACCACAGGACATCTGGCAGCTATCATGACAAGTGGCTGTGTGAGAGACCCCACATCTCTGCAGGTATCTTTGTACATTGTGCAGTGGCGTACAACTACCTTTAAAATAAACTTACAACAATGCCTGGAGAATGGAGAAGGTAATAGGAGCATTTCTGAATCTCACCTCATGTTCCATAAAGAGTGCCTTCAACTGCCCCTTTGACCAATAGTCCATAGCATTGGACAGAAGTCTCATGGACAACGTGTTGATCCTCAGAAAGTTACCCACAAACACCACCCTGTTAATATTCTAAACAAAAAAGAATTTCAAATTCGCAACCCTTAAAATACAAAAGTTTAGTTCAAAATGAGCATTAAAAGAAACAGCTTTAAAGTAAGAAAAGTGCAATTCCTGTCCTTCAAGTAGGAAGCAATCCATCTTGAAAAAATATTAAGGCAGACCCAGTTCTAAATACCCTCACAAAAACTTTTCCAAAGAATCCTTTAATATTTAGAAGCTGGTTTCACATGTTACTGCAGTCGCAACAGGATACTAGTATTAAAACAGCGACTATATTCAAACATCATAAGCACGTCTGTGAGCAGTATATACACATCTGTAAAACCTGAAACACACCAAAGGATTAGCAGAGCATGGTTTCAGGAGTGGTAAATAGCAACAGACAGTACTTTGTGCTTTACCCACCAAAAGGAAAGTGATAAGATGTGGCATAAGAGGCTTTCAGCCAAAGTGGAAAAACTTTATGGTTTAAAGAATAAAAGATTTTGAACAATAGTAAATGTTCTAACGACTTGAGACCAGCAGTGTCAGAGAGATCACTTCTGGTGGCTTTGCTGCCTCATATCCTGACCAGCGAGTGGTAGTAATCGAGGGACACTGGCCATCAGTGGGAGACCCGGACGAGCACGTAGTAGCCGTAACAGACCAGGATTTAAAAGACTGAGCGAAATGAGTAAAAATCTCATATTGGTTTCCCCTTTTTTTAAAAAAAGTATAGATAGAAAAAACCTTAAAAAAAACTGCCTCAAACTTTACAAACCGATTCATAGAATCTACAACATTTGAAACAGGCCACTCGGCCCAACTCGTTTATGCCGGTGTTTATATTCCATATCTGCTTCCATCCATCCTAATCTTTCTAACTCCCCACCCCCAGCAATCCCTTATCTCACATCTAAACATTTATGTTTCCACCTTGCCCTCCTCCCAGCATGTTACATATAAATTAAAGTCACCATTAAGATAAACCAACAGCAGGATAGGGCTCAGTACTTTCATAGCCCTGTACAATGCTGCTTGATCCGGATGCTACAAGTCAGCACTGTAAAGAAGCTGAAAACACAGAGCATTGATTTTTTTTCCTTTTCCCCTCCTCTCCCACCACACCCTCTTTACTGGATTACAGGCAGAGAATGTCATAAGATTAGCAAGTTGCAGAATGCTTCACAGTAGTTCAATAATTGCACAAGTAACCCTTTCGATTGTGAATAAAAAGCATCTGTTTTGCCTACAAATGATGAAAAAGAATTGCATTGGTTATGCATTCACCTCTAACCTATGGATACAGTGCTGAAAATAGAATTTGCTCATGTTAGGCAGGTCTTCATTGAAGGTACATAAACAACTTTTAAACACATTTGTTAGTCGGATGTCTGACACACTTGGAAACCAATCACTGTGCTTAAGAGTATCAAAAACAAACACAATTCCATGCATCCCATCTACACATGGAAATTCCTGTGAATTGGAAAGTGCACTCTCTCCCTAGAGGGATGTATGCTGGTATCTAGTTCTAGAAACGGTATCTCAGTTTGGGAATAAACTGAATACAATATGGAAGGAAAAATGAAATAAATTCTGACCTCATTCAGTGCACACATCATGGCTATGGAGCCGATGTTGTTTGTGATGGTGACTAATGTTGCTCTGGCCAAGTCTTCTTTGCTGACTAATTCCTGCTTTTCTTTACTCATCATGTGGCCAAAACTGAGAAGACGGGGATGGGAGGGAAATAAAAATACTTAAAACATATTTTATACATATAAATTGCCCATTTCTAGATCTCCACCATTGCTGCTCTGTTAGAAATCATAAGCAGGTAACAAGCTTTTTGAAAAGGATATGTACATACGAAGGACCAAAAAGGTTCCAGTAGCCCAGTATAGTGCCCCAAGATATACAGTAAACCCCCTGGTTTAGAGACTCCGGGTATCAGGGATTTGTTTCTAGCCGGGCCTGGCCTGAAACACAAGTTTTTAAAAAATCTGCAGCAAAATCACAGCTCACAATTTTCTTCCAGCCTTAGTTATGTTAAGAGATTAAGATAATAAGAACAAATTACATTTGTATACCGCCTTTCACATCAGGAGGATGTCCCAAGGCGCTGGATATTGCTAATGTATTATGGAGTAATTGAAGAAAAACTCCAGTGAAACCAGGGTTATAGAAAACCACAATCCATGGTTTTAATCTATCCATCAGCATTGGGCAATAATTAATGGAACATAAATTGATTTACAGAAATAATGAAAAAAATTCCTAAACATGTTTATTATCGTTGTTCCCAACAATAATACCCATTAGCATAGCAAGCAACTTTCACACATGGAGAATGTCACAAAAAGCTTGAAACAGCTGACTGGGTAACAGAGCTGGGGGATGGGGTTTGGGAGAGGAAGAGAGAACACAAAATCAAAAGGACATATCTTAAAGATAGATCCATTTCATGAAGATTCCATTCACTATGCGCTATTACTCTATAACAGTGGGCAATACATCCTAATGTAGAAAATTACACATCGGTGAAGCACATTTTATGGAAACAAAACCCAAAAAAAGCCAAGAAGAGAACTGGGCCAGACAGTTTACCCCCAGGATAACCCAAGGATATACACAGATGCCAGGATATACTCCAGGATATCAATAATAAAGGTCAGGCCTTGGATAAAATTTTAGGGGCCAATGGTCGTGGGCAGCAAATTGTGTCTTAATATTAAAGAATAAAACACGAGCCAGAAATCAGTTACCCTATGAAAAATGGTAAAGCACATTATACAGAATATGAACAATGGTCACAATAAATGCAAGTTGTTATTGTTGAGCCTCCATCCATCCTAATACCCTTCCCCATGCCTCCACCCATCTATTCCCTTCTTCCTTGTGTGTGCATCAAGTTTCCTCTTAAACAGTCTAACCAAGGTTTTACACACATTTAACATTACTTTCTTGCTTTTAAAATAATGCGTCATTATTTAGCTATATCATTAACCAGCTGCTCTCTGGTTCAGTTGCTAGTTCTCCAGCTTTTGAGTCAGAAGGTCCTTGGTCCCCTTCTTTTCAATATCTATATACTCCCTCTTGGTGATATCACCCGCACACATGCGGATGACACCCAACTCTATCTCTCTGCCTTCACCCTCGACTCCAGGACCACTGCTGTGCTGACAGAATGTCTGTCAGACATCAAGTCCTGGATGAGAGCGAACTTTCCACAGTTGAATGTCAACAAGACCGAGGCTCTCCTGATTGGCTCCCGTCAGTGCCTCCTCACCTCAGGCACTGACAGCATCACCACCACGGTTGCACACTCCACCTTACTAAGCCAGTCCAGAACCTTGGCATCTTGTTCGACTCTCAACTATCCTTTCTACCCCACATCTGCGCCATGACCCGCTCTGCCTTCCCCCACCTCCGCAACATCGCCCGGCTCCGCCACTGTCTCACACCGCAGGTCACCAAAGCCCTCATACACACATTCTTAACATCCAGGCTTAACTATGCAAACTCCCTGCTCATTGGACTCCCCAACCCCTCCCTCCATATGCTGCAGATCATCCAGAACTCTGCAGCCCGTGTCCTCTCCCATACGAGGCTCCACGACCCTAGTAACATCCTCCTTGCCCAACTCCACTGACTTCCCATCACACAGAGGATACAGTTCAAGATCCTGGTCCTCACCTTCAAAGCCCTCCATGGCCTCGCTCACCCCTACCTCTTCGACCTCCTAAGCCCCTATCAATCTGCCTGTTCCCTCCTCTCTGGCCTGCTTCACGTCCCCCGCCTCGTCCGCCCCACCATTGGCAGTCTGGCCTTCTGCTAGTCTGCCCCCACCCTCTGGAACTCCATCCCTCAGACCCTCCTCCTCGCACCCTCTCTTGCCTCCTTCAAGACTCTCCTCTCATCAACTTCCTCTTTGTCACCCTCCTTCACGATCCCGTCTCCCAGTTTGGGGCTGAAACATTGATTGTCCAGCATCTTGGGACATCCTCCCACAGTGAAAGGCACTATACATATGTAATTTTGTTGTTCTTTGGGTTCCATTCCCATGTCAGGACTTTGAGTTAACAATCTCCACCCCCAAACAGTCACTTGTAGCAATCCTCAGGGCTCTACTCTACCCTTCTCTGCACCATCAATACTCTCCCCTTTGGTGATCTCACCTGTAGGGTCACTTACACACATACGGCGATTACACCCAAACCTACTTCTCTGCCTCTATCCTCGATTCCAGGACTATGGCTGTTCTGATTGTTCTGGATAAGTTCTAACATTCGCCAGCTAACCAGTAGCAAAACTGAGGCTCTTCTGTACGGTTTCTGTCAGCATCTTCTAAATTCAGATACTGACCACATCGACCTGCCCAAATGTACATGAAACTGCAGTGACCTATTCAACCTCATCTGTCCTTTAAATGTGCTCTCACTCCTTTCACAACATTGCTCTCCTCTTCCACTTCCTATCTCCTATGCACCCCACCCCCCACTCTACTGAAACACCCACTTCCTGCGTCTACACTGGACCACTCGAACTCCGTGCTCACCAGATTCCAGCTGTTCCCTCATCCATCCACTTTACATCCGCTAACAGCTTTTCTTCCAGGCCTCGTGTGCAGCATTCTTCAGGGCTCTGCCCTTGGTCCTCTCCTCTTTAATACTTACATGCTCCCACTCATCTGCAGACATGGTTAACTTCCACATATATACGGATGACACAACTATCTCTCTGCGTCCACCCTCGACTCCAGGACCACGAATGGACTGCCTGTTAGTTATCAAGTTCTGGATGAGAGCTAAATTTCTCCAATTGAATATCGACAATATGGAGACCCTCCTGCTTGGCTCCAGTGAGCGCCTCCTCAGCTCAGGCACGAACAGCATCACTATTCATGTATACACTCACCATCAAATGCAAGGATTATTATTATTATTATTTATCTCACCGAGCCATTACGGAACCTTGGGGTCTTGTTCGACCTTCAATTGTCTTTTAAACTCGACACTCTTGCAATGACCCGCCTCTCCCCTCAGGCAGCCGAGACTCTTATCTGTGCTTTCATTACTTCCAGGCTCGATTGTGCTAGCTGTCTGCTCAACACAATGTCGACAACACGGAGAACCTCCTGCTTGGCTACAGTTAGCGCCTCCTCACCTCAGGCACTAACAGCATCACTATTCCTTTAAACCCGACACCGTGCAATGATCGGTCTTCTAACTCTTCCCTCCACAAGCTGCAAATTATTCAGAACCCGCAGTTTGTATCATCTCAACAACAACTTGCATTTATATAGCACCCCTCATGCAGGATAGCGACCCGGAGCGCTGGTCTCCCTCCATCCCTCGATTCCAACCCAGTTTGGTTGCAAACCCTCGACTGTACAGTGCTTTGGGACATCCTCCGGAAGAGTGCTACATAAATGCAAGTTGTTGTTGTCACAGGCCATCCAGGACTCTGCAGCTCCAGACCAGGCACCATAAGCCTATCACCCTCATCATTATTAAATTCCACTAGCTCCCCATCTCCCAGCACATCAAATTCAAGATCTTTCTCCTCACTTTTAAATGCCTCCACAGCCTTACTCTCTCTTACCTCTTGCATTTCCTGTAACCCTACTGCCCAACGATTCCCTTCACTCAGCGAACATCAGCTGCTCCATGTTGCACCCATAGATCTGTTCCACTATCTGAGAACAAACTTTCAGCCATTCTTCTCCTGCTCTCTGGAATTCCACTCCGGAGGAGTCCCTCCGTCACACTCCATCCCTCCCCATCTTTAATGCCCAGCTGAAGCATTTTCTTTTTGACCACACGTCTGATCTCATCTCACCCGATGGGCTCCCAGACAATTCCGTGCAGCACTTCTGAGACATCCTCCTGATATGAAAGACACTTTACAAGTGTAAAATTACTGTGGTCTACAGTGCAGTGCTGGGTGACCACTGCATTATTCAAGGTATCATCCTTTGGATGAGATGGTAAACTGAAGCCTCATCTGTATATTCAGGTGGATTTTAAAAATTCCATGGCACCATTCAAAAAGAGAAGGGAGTTTATCCCGGTGGCCAACAATCCCACTGGTAAAATCCACAATATGGTTGTTTGCAGGGTATTGTTCATGAAAATTGGCTGCACATTCACCTACAAACAGACCCTGCACTTCAGTAAAATCCTGCAAAGCACTTTGAGATAAGGCACTTTAATAAAAAGGTAAGGAATTACATCAATAAAAACTGATGTGGAGGCCCTGTTAGGGAAAAATAAGATTTGTACAGGGAAGATCTGGAAGAATGAACAATCTTGAGATTTTGCTCAAACAATATGCTGGGGGAATTTATACGCACCATTTCACCAGATGAGGGTCCCTCAAAACTGGGGTCATCACCCCTATCCTTAAAAGTTACACTCGATCCTTCCAACCTCAGCCATTACCGCCCTATCTCAAACCTGCCCTTCCTTGCCAAAGCTCTGGAACACGTTGTTGCCAACCAACTTCGCGCACACCTCTCCCTCTATACCCCTCCAGTCCGGTTTCCGCCCGGCCCACAGTACAGAGACAGCGCTCGTGAAGGTCACAAATGATATCCTCTCTATCTGTGACCAGGACTCCCTCTGCCTCCTTGTCCGCCACATTCAACACAGTCGATCACGACATCCTCCTCCACCACCTGTCCTCCATCATCCACCTCAGTGGGACCGCACTCACTTGGTATGAGTCCTACCTTACAAACCGCCAGCACTACATTTCTGCAAATGGCTTTTCTTTGCGCTTCCACCCGGTCAACTGTGGGTTATCCCAAGGATCCATCCTTGGCCCTCTTCTCTTCCTCATATATATGCTCCCTCTCGTGATGTCATCTGCAGACACAGGATTAACTTCCACACGTATGCAGATGACACTCATTCTACCTTTCCACCTCCAACTGCGAACCTCAGTCCCCTGATGTTCTGTCAGCTTGTCTGCCGGACATCAGGAGCTGGATGAGTGCAAATTTACTGCAGTTAAACGTCAACAAGACGGAAGCCGATGTCTTCTGTCCCACGGTTCCGACCTCCTCAACCTACCTGACCTGTCCTTAAAACTCTCTGAACTGGTGCGCAACATAGGTGTCAGGTTCGATCCCCAGTTATCCTTCCTCCCCCACATCCGGTTCCCAACCAGCACCGCTTTCTTCCGGAATCCTCCCCTCCACCATCAGCGGCCATGGCTTCAGCACTACGTCCTGAAACTTTGGAACTCCCTCCTCAACTCCTTCGCCTCACCCCCACCTTCAGGTCAGACCCGAAGATCTTCCTTTTCGACCGCGTCTACGGTCACCTTTGCCCCTCCGCCTGGCTCGGCCTTGGGCTCCACCACTGTTAAGCGCTCTGAGATACTGCCCGGCATGGGGGGGGCGCTATATAAGTGCAAGTTGTTGTTGTTGATGAATCTCATGACAAGGTAATTTTTCTGTGAGGTGCAGAAGCAGCTTTTCTCATTCCATGCATCGTGTTTTCAGAAAGCAGTTGGCATATCTAATAGATTAGTGTTGCATTTATCAAATGAAATGATTATTTACTATAATTATATACAAATAATAATTATTATTTATCTTAAAATAGATTTCAGCAAATAAGTTATACATAATCGATGTTGGAGATGAATTGAAAATGTACTACATGTTCTTACCTGGATGCCACAGCCCAACCTGGCAGTCCAAACTGCTCATAGTCTCCTCCATAGATGTCTCGTACTAATTTATCCACTTTTGTGCTCTCGCCATTTGATGCCATCTCAAGGGCTTCGTCAAATGTTGAGCAACCAGTGAGCAAACAGCACAGGCCAAGAAAGGTTCCACCTCCAATACTGCAAGACAATTTTCTTAGTCAGAATGGGGTGGGGTCAGGAAAGAACTGGAGAGAGAACCAGGGAGAACACAGACAGTCTTAGTACTCCCCCCCACCCATATTTAAAAATAAGAGCATCGTCTATTATAGCACCAGCACCACCTAGTGGCAGATTAGCAGATATAAACAGCATCCAATGCTTACAGAGCCTTAATAACAATACATCATTCCTCCAGATGAGCTGTTAAGCTGAGGTTGTCTGCCTGTTCAAGTTGATATTAATAATCCTATGGTACTATCTAAAAACACAAGGGAGTTTGTGCCAGTGTCATGACCAACAATCCCCCCAAAAAATTGCTCATTCACTTCACAGCTGTTTATAAGATGTTATGTGCAAATTACCTCCTGTGTTCGCCTGCAAAAGTCACTGCACTTTACAGTAAATCTCGTGAAACGCTTTGAGATGGCCTCCTTCCAAGAAAGACGCTATATCAAACTCTAAGATTATTTTATTTATATATTAGTCCTCAGATTTTTTAAGTAATTTGTTCCAAAAAACCTTGCTGCTGCACTTTGCCCACAAAATACAGTCATTTCACTTTACAGTCTATTCTGTGAAGCGCTTTGAGACGTCTAGAAGATGTGAAAAGCACTATATCAAATGCAAGGATTATTATTATTATTAGGTGTATCATTCACATCGAGACAATGTCTCAAAGCATTTCACAGGATATCACAAAGTGGCAGCAGCCCATTTGCACACAGCAATGTTCCACAAACAGGCTTGTAGTGAATGACCAATTTTAGCTTGCAGATTGCTGGCCATGGCGCCAGGAAAAAGCCCCTTCTCTTTTTGTATAGTGGCATGGGATCCTTAATATCCACCTGAATAGGCAGACACGGGATCTCGGTTGAATGTTTCATCAGTTGGACGGCATGTTTGGCAATGTACGTATTGCACCCTTAACATCGCGCTGGAGTGGCATTCTAGACCATGCAAGTTTAACAAAACATGTAGGAGCAGGAGTAGGCACACAGTATTCCAGGTGTGGTCTCACCAGGGCCCTATACAGTTGCAGCAAGACTTCCCTACTCTTATACTCTAATCCTTTCATAATGAATGCTAACATACCGTTCGCCTTCCTAATTGCTGCTGCACCCGCAGACTAACTTTCTGTGATTGGTGTACAAGGACACCCGAGTCCCTCTGGACGCCAACACATTCCAATCTCTCCCTTTCTAAAAAATAATCCGCTCTACTGTTTTTGCTACCTTGGTGGATGACTTTGCACTTCCCTAAATCATACTTCATCTGCCACCTACCTGCCCAATCACCTAACCTATCCATGTCTCACTGCATTTTTTGTTAATGTCATCCTCTGTGTTGACACTTTCTCCTAGTCTTGTGTCAATGACACTTCCCTCCTAGTTCTAAAGTCCCGACATGAGGCTTGAACCCACAACCCTCTGACTCAGAGGCGAGAGTGCTACCAAATGAACCAGGCTGACACATTTCATTTGTGTTGATAAAACAGTTTTGAAAAGGAAATGTTCATTGACTGATGGTGGTGTTTGGGCGGTGGGGGGGGGGGGGGGGAGAGGGAGGAAAGAGTAAACTGAGGGCCAGATACCAGTGGGCCTCTCTCCCTCTGGTACTCCACCCACAGCAATCCTGCTGCGGCCATCAAGCTGCTGGACTGTCTCTCCATAACCTTCAATTCCCTGGCTCCCCTGAAATCCAGGGTTGTTCCCAAACCCACCTGCTTTCCCAGTACAACAGTCACCTCCACTCACTCAAAGCACAAACTCGGATGCTCAAGCGCAGATGGCAGAAATCCAGCCTCAGGATTCACCGCCAGCTGTGGCTCGAGCACCTCCTCACCCACTGCCTCTCCCTTTCACAGGCCAAAACTGACTTTTACTCCAAAATCATCCCGGAGACCAAAAACAACCCAAAGACACTGGTTCCCACTGTCCATCACCTCCTCCGTGCACCGCCTCAAGCCCCCTCTATCTTCACGTTAAACGCCAAGTGTGAAGAGGTTCTAGTCTTCCTTGCCTCAAAAATTTAAAACATCCGCTTGGCTGCATTGTCCACCACCCCTCTGCACCCCCATGTCCCCTTCCATCCCACCCAGACCATCCATACCGCCTTCTCCCTCTGCCATGGCTCCTGCCATTCCCCCTCCTTACACTCCTTTACCCCCATTTCTCCCTCCTCCCTTTTAATCACAATCACCCCCATGAAGTTCACCACCTGCTATCTTAAACCCCTCCCCACCCAGCTGCTGGTCACTCAACTCCTCCTGTTTTCCCCCCTGCTGGCCGACACGGTCAACCAGTCTCTCTCCTCAGGCTGTGTTCCACTCCCCCTGAAAACCGCTGTCATCACATCCCTCCTCAAAAAAACCATTCTCGATCCCCCTAATCTCCCACACTATCGTCCCATCTCCAACCTACCCTTCTTGCCAAAGTCCTGGAACACATTGTTGCAGGTCAACTTTGGTCACACTTTTCCCTCCACTCCCTCCTCGAGCCCCTGCAGTCTGGTTTTCACCTGCCCACAGCACAGAGACAGCGCCTGTCAAAGTCACAAGCGACATTCTCTCTATCTGTGACCAGGGCTCCCTCTGCCTCCTCGTCCTCCTGGATCTCTCTGCCGTAGTCGACACAATCAACCACACCATCTTCCTCCATCGGCTCTCCTCCCTCATCTACCTTAGTAGGACCGCACTCACATGGTTCGAGTCCTACTTAACCAACCACCTCCATTTCAGCAAATGGTATCTCCTTCCACCCCTGCCCGGCCTCCTGCAGGGTACCCCAGGGCTCCATCCTTGACCCTCTTCTTTCCTTTATCTATGTGCTCCCTCTTGACGATGTCATTCGCAGACATAGGGTAAATTTTTACATGTATGCGGATGACACACAAATCCACTTTGTCTGCTCCAGTACCAACTCCGGGTCCACCGAGGTTCTATCAGCTTGTCTGGCAGACATCAAGGCCTGGATGAGTGTAAACTTCCTGCAGCTGAATACTCCTTGGCTCCCGTCAACGTCTTCAATTGCCTGCCTCTGACCGTACCTTATCCCAAAGGCAGCCCAAACCCTCGTGGATGCGTTTGTCACCTCCCGCTTGGATTACTCCAATGCACTTCTCACCAGTCTCCCCAGCAATACCATTCACAAGATCCAGCTCATTCAAAACTCCCCCCATACTGATCCAGACCAAATTCTGTACCCACATCTCACCAGTTCTGGCCAGGCTGCATTGGCTCCCCATCACTGAACAGATCGAGTTCAAGATCCTCACACTGTGTTCAAATCCATTCACTCTCTGACACTTCCCTACCTCTCCGACCTCCTCACTGCCCAATCCACCACCCAGTGCCTCCACTCGACTGGCACTGGTCTCCTGCTCGTCCCTCTCACCCTCCGCTCCACCATCAGAAATAGTGCTTTCAGCCATTACGACCCAAAACTCTGGAACACTCTCCCTCAATCCTTCTGCCTTGTCCCCTCTCTTCCCTCTTTCAAGTCCTGCCTGAAAACATTCCTGTTTGATCATGCTAAAGGCCACCTCCCATCTCCTCGGAGTCAGGCTCTGCCACTGTTGAGCACTCTGAGACGCTGACCCGCTTGGAGGGTGCTATATAAGTGCAAGTTGTTGCTGCAAACTGTTTCTTTGCTGATTGCATTTTGAATGATTTCACATAAGATGCAAACTGTACCAACATGCAATAACTGCAACCAAAACAGAATATTTACCAACTCCAACAGCTCTTCAAAGTGAGAGACCCATTTGATTTTAGCATAAAAGACTATAAACCTTTAATTACAATTCCATTCACCACTTCCAGGCAAATACTTTGTAAAGATAAGCACAAAGATAAGTTTTTCCTCAGCATGTAAATAAGTAGAAAAATGAAATTATTCTGAAGTAAATACATTTTACTCAAAGCAAATTTCTATTAGTGCAAGTAATTAACGCCTCAGAAAAGCGTTCAATCAGAACTATTACTATTGAATAAGCTGTCTAAATTTACCCTTTTCTAGTCCATTTGCAACTTTGCCTTGAGCTACAGTTTTCACTTTGCTCGTGTTACATTTGAGGGATTACATCAAACTTCCTGAAAATTAAGACTGTATTCACAAGTTCATGCTCCATTTAGCTTGCAAAAGTACTAGTAAAACACTAAATCACACAGACAAACTCAAAATACACCTGAAGTCACGGAATCCCCTCAAACCACAGGTCTCCCAGGTCAAATACACTCACAAAACCCTTATCAGATCAGATAAAGTGCTGCATCAGCCAGATTGGTACTTGACAGGTTATCTTCTATACTAATAAAATGATAATGTGTTTGTGCATGTGTATCAGCCACGATCTCAATAACCAATTGGCTGATAGACATGGTTTATACCTTATCGGAAAGGTCTTTCATCTGGGAATGTCATGGGCATATTTGTTTTCGGGGATCTCCTATCGTTGATGAGCTATGACCTAAACAAGCTCATCACACATATATGGCAGTTTTTTGTTTTGCACTGCAGTTATACTTGGTGGCCGCGCCGCATCATAGTGGCGCTGTGGCATCGTGCATCTCAGAGCACGTACATATGTACGCTCACACTGCAGTTACACCTGGTGGCTGCGCCGGCTCACAGTGGCAATATGGCATGATTCATCACAGAGCACGTAGGTACGCATGCACCCACTCGGATGAAGCCAAGCGGCAGGAACAAGATAAACAACAACAAAATTACATTTGTGAAGTGGTTTTCACGTCGGGAGGATGTCCCGGTGATCATAAATTATAAATTTACATTTATCATTACAAAGATGCCTAAGCGAAGATCAAGCCTTTCAAGGATAAGTAAAAGTGCTAGACAAAAGAGAGAAGACCAATTAAATGAAACTGAAGAACAAAGAACAGCACGGCTGGACTTCAATGCTGAAAGGATTACAAGAGCACGGGAAAACGAGTTTCCCACTCAAAGGCTAGATTTTGACGCAGAAAAGCATTCAAGAATACAGCAAATGATGCCCATCAGCCAAGATCACGCCATTTTGCTGCGCTCAGCTATGATCATCCATGCAGACAAGACACCTGCTGGCCAGCATGAACAAATTAGCCATCCTAATTGTGGGTGAAGAACATGGTAAGCAGGACATTGTGTTGCAGCAACATGACAACAAACTCAAATGAGTGTGTGAGACTAACAGGGGATACGATGCCCTCCAGTACCCAACCTTATTCCCACGTGAAGATGGCTACCATTTCTAGATATGGCAAACAAATCCCAACATTGAACAGTCAAGGCCTGACAAAAAGGTGTCTGCTATGGCTCTTTATGCGCATAGGTTGATGCAACGTGAAGGCGATTACAACATCCTTCTGTGTACAAACTTCCTTTGCCATCAATTCATCATAGGCACATATACCAAGATCGAAGCTGAGAGACTCCTGCTTTTCTGTTTGAACCAGAAGAAACTCAGGGTTGAGGAGTACATTCTTTTGTGGGATGCACTTATAAACGCTGGTGACACCTACAACGTAGGTCAACTGGTCATCTTGCCACCCAGCTTCACTGGGCCGGGGGCCAATGGTTATGTACGAAAGAACCCAGGATGCATTGTGCTATGTGCAAGTGTACGATCAAACTGACCTGTTCATCATATTCACCGGCAACCGCAATTGGGAGGGGATCAAGCAGGAACTGTTGCCTGGACAGAAGCCACAGGACCTCCATGATCTCATAGCCAGGGTTTTCCACTTCAAAGTTCTTAAAACTGATGGAGCTGATCACCAAAAATCATGTCTTTGGCAAAGTCCATTGTTACCTCTACACCACTGAGTGTCAAAAGTATGTTCTGTGGCTCATCGAAAAAATACAGCCTAAGCAAATCGACGATGTCATCTCTGCAAAACTGCCAAATCCAGACTCTGTACTCTTTGAAATCATAAAGAAACACATGATTCAAGGTCCATGTAGACACTTCAACAAAAAATCTCCCTGCATGAAAGATGACTCCTGCTCAAAGCAATATCCAAGGAGCTTCGTACAGGAGACCCAGGTCATGATGGGTATCCTTTGTACAGGCTGGAGGTCAACTGGAGGTGGTGGATGCCATTCAGTACTGACAAACAGCAAACAGCAGGTGGAAGAAGACAACAGTTGGGTTGTCCCATACAGACCCTTTTTCCCTTGGCTCTTCAACACTCACATCAATGTCGAGTTTTGCAACTCTGCTAAGAGCATCAAATATATGAACAAGGGATACAACATGGCTGTGTTTCAACCCGAGAGGGAGGAAGCCCAAAGAGACAAGGCAATATACTACTAGATGTGCCGATATGTAAGCACCAATGAAGCAATCTTGAGAACTTTGGGCTTCCACATACATGATCCACATCCCGTGGTCCAACACCTTCAGATTCACCTTGAAAACGCCCAAAGGTGTTTTTTTTTTTTACAGAAGCAAATGTTCGGGAAAGGCAAAGGTTCACTTGAACCTCCAAAAAACCACACTAACTCATTCTTCGAACTATTCAACAGGACGAGTTTGCAAAAATCCTTCTCTACTGGGAGGTCCCAAAGTATTTCACATGGAACTCCCATACCAAGAAGTGGAAGTGAAGAGTTCGAGGTACTCCTGTTGAAGACTATCTCTGTCAAGTCCAGTGACGCACTTGGCAGGGTGTACACAGCGCATCCAAACAACTTTGAATGCTACTTCTTAACGCTATTGCTGCACATTGTGGGAGGTCCAATAAGCTATAAGGATCTTAAAACCGTTGATGACGAAGTCTGCAATACTTTCTGAGAAACATGCCACTGCAGGTGTCTCCTAGAAGACGATGCCCACTGGAACCAGACATTAGAAGAAGCAGCCACAGCACGGTCTACTATCAGACTGAGGGATTTGTTTGCCATCATGCTGCACACCTATGGTCTGTCTAACCCAAAACAGCTGTAGAATAACCACAAAGAAAGCATGTCAGAAGAGGTTTTCCATTAGTTACGCAGTGCAAATCCACAAACTGAGTTGGACTACAGTGATGCCATCTTCAACCAAGCCCTCATACACTTAGAAGACAAACTAATGGCTGTGGGAGGAAAGGCATTGCCACACTATGGTCTGCCCTGTATTCACAGAACAGAAGATGTGACCATGGCCAGAGAACTTTTGCAGGAAATCAACCAATAACCAATATGAAATGCAGCAGTTTGTCCAGGAGAGAGAATCAACCACGACAGAAGATCAAGCTGCAGCATATCAGAGGATCTTCACAAAGTTGACCACAATGAAGGAGGCATTATCTTTCTTGATGCACCTGGTGGTATAGAAAAAACATACCTCATCAATCACATCTTGGCCAAGATTTGGTCCAGGGGAAAAATTGCACTTGCAGTTGTGTCCTCTGCTTACTTCGGTAACTCTACTTACGGGCAGCAGAACAGTCCATTCTGCCTTCAAGCTGCCACTGAACCTTTCTCATACAGAGGATCCAGTGTGCAATATCAAGAAGGTTACAGCTGCAGCTACATTGATCAAGGACTGTAAAACCATTGTGTGGGATGAATGCACTGTGTCGCACAAGCATGCCTTTGAGGCTCTGGACAGGACACTTCAGGACATCAGAGAAAACATCCAGATGATGGGAGGGATGACACTTATTTTGTCAGGAGACTTCCACCAGACACTACCTGCCATACAACGTGGTACCCATGCTGATGAACTGAATGCCAGTCTTAAGGCTTCCAGGCTGTGGCCATGTGTGGAGGAGATTAACCTCAAGACAAACACGTGAGTCCACCTTCATTGCAGTTTTGCAGCTGGGGCATATGCAAACCTCCTTCTGGAAACTGGGGTTGGCAAAGTTCCAGTGGATCCAACAGATGGTCAAATTCAGATCCCCGAGGGTTGTGGGACCATTGTACAAGATATAGCAAAGCTCAAAAACGTTTTCCCGAACCTCAGCCATAACTACATATATCATAAATGGTTGTGTCAATGAGCAATCCTTGCTCCAAAAAAATGAATCTGCCTGCAAGATCAATTCCCAGCTACTCAATGACATCCCTGGCCAAGAAACTGTGTACAAGTCCATAGACATTATTCATGACATCGAAAATGCTGTTAACTACCCAACTGAGTTTTTAAACTCTTTGAAACCATCCGGTGTGCCTCCACACAAACTCATACTAAAGCTTTGATGCATAATCACGCTGCTGAGGTATCTAGATCCACCAAAGCTATGCAATGTTGGTGGTAAAGCAGTTATAGAAGCAATTATTCTGACTGATCAGTTCAAAGGGGAAGATGTAATCATTCCTTGCATCCCACTGCTCCCAAGTGATGACCAGTTTTGAGTTCAAAAGGCTATAATTCCATGTTCAAATATGCTTTGCCATGTCAATTGACAAGGCACAGGGGCAGAGATTAAAGGTTGCTGGCCTTTTCTTGAACACACTCTGCTTTTCCCATGGACAATTCTATGTTGGATGCTCACGTGTGGATTCATCTCAAAACCTGTACATCAGGCTGAAGGAGAAAAAACTGCAAATGTCGTCTACACGGAAGCCTTGCAAAAACTCAAGGACTTGCCATATCACACAGTAAACCCCTTCAGTCAGCGTAGCTTTGATAAGATCTTCTATCATTCACGAGCTATGATGACCCTTTGATGGGAACTTCTATCGTTCATGAGTTATGACCAAAACAAGTTCATCACACATGTATGACAGTTTTGCTTAAGGTGTACATACAGTTTTTATGGCATGTTAAATGGTCTGTGAGTGGTATCACTGAAATCTACATTCCATATTGGATCCTTTGGTTGCAAGCATAGCTGCAACAGGTACAGGTATTATTATAAATTAGAGACCGTTTCCAATGGTATACCGAATACTGCCTCTTTATAAAATGAGTATTTTCTATTTAGAAACTAGGTAACATTCCATCACAGTGATAAACAACTGAAATGATAATCCAATCGTTGGATATTGTTTCTTCTCAGCTATTGCTAAAGCCAAAGAAGCAGAGTAATCCTGGCTGGATAAGCAGGAAGCTTGACAGACAGTGTATATTCACAATGACAAGCTTGTTAAACTTTCTAGGGAGTGAGTGTGTATGCCATTCCAAACAAAGGGAAATTTCCAGGAATATGTGGAACTCGGTCATTTGACTTAGATATTCTTAAATATGGTGGTGTGTTTCTGTGATGCCAGACCAAAAAGAAAAATCAGTAACAAAATGAAGCATTACTTCAAGGAATAGTCGAATGACGCAAGAGTTTGACAGTAAAACTTTTTGAAAAAAACGATTAGATAATAGTATCTATAATCTTGATTTCTTCAAAAGAAATGTATTAAGTTCGATCCAAAAAGTAATTGGCAAAGTCACAATAATTTTAAATCGCAAGCAATTTTGTTTTGGTCAGCAAGGTGTCTGACACATGCGACACTAGATTTTCCATTAAATTCTGTGAAGAGCTTTGGGACGTCCACCCGACATGAAAGGTTCTATAGCAAATGTAAGGATTATTATTTATTATTGATTATTGTGGCTACAAAACTTAGACATCATAAGAGGTTCCAGGGATGAAGCCAGATTGCATAATGCAGCTAAAAATACATGGAAAAGGTATTCATCTTCTGTAGTTTCTTTAAGACATCATCTCAACAACTTGCACTGATACAGCACCCTCCATGCAGGGCAGTGTCTCAGAGCGCTCCACCACTATAAGCACCTTAATTGATGTTGCAGCATTTGATGCTCACCTGGTGCCAGTTACTCGCTTGTAATTATCTTTAGAATACACAGCCAAAATGCTGACTCCTGAGCCAATATTCACCAGCAGCAGTGGATATGGGTTGTCCAAAGGGTACGCCACCTTCTTGCATTTTTCCAGATCTGTTGGATTCTCAAAGTAATAGCAGTCTGCAGACCCATTAAAACCTGATGAATCAATATGCAGCATCCCTTGGATAAGGCAATGAAGCTCATCCAGTTTTCGAAGCTGGAGATTAACAATCTGAAAGAAAGCAGGGCAAGACCTAAATTACTATTTGTCAACATATTAAAAACACTGCCCAAACTCTAAATAGAAACTGCTAAAAATAAAACTTTTCAATCTGCTGATTCCCTTCAAAAATAAAAAATAATTTAGTCACTCAATCCACCACTGTTTGTAGGAATACTGCTTGTGTACAATTGGCTGCCACGTTTCACCCACAAAATAGTCAATTCATTTTACAGTATATCCATATAAGCGCTTTGAGACAGACGTCTCAAAGATGTGATAAGGCACTATATCAAATGCAAGGATTATCATTATAAGCACAACAGAATATGCTACAAAATGTAATAATAATAATCCTTGCATTTGATATAGCGCTTTTCACGTCGGGAGGACGTCCCAAAGCGCTTCACAGAACACGCCTGTAAAGTGAATTGACTGTATATTTGTGGGCGAACGCGGCAGCCAATTGCGCACAGCAATGTCCCACAAACAGTCGTAGATTGAAAATGACCAATTTATTATTGTTTTTGGTTTTGGAGGGATTATTATTAGGCTCTGTGTGGAGTAAGGAAACTTGCCCAAGATTTCGCCCTCTGCCTGGAATTAAACTCAGGTCTCGCGCTTGCATAGCGAGTGCTCTAACCACTGAGCTACAGGACTCCACAATATTTATGGCTAATACAGCAGCCATGTAATAATAATCCTTACATTTGATAAAGCACCTTTCACTCCAGGACGTCTTAAAGCACTTCACAGGTTAAACTGAAAAATGCAGTTACTGTGTTTTTGGTGGGTGAATGCTGCAGCAAATTTGCCCACAAATGGCCGTGGAATGTGATCAATTTTATTTTGGGGATTGTTGGCCAATACACATTTAAACATGTCTCAACATTGTTTTTAACATGCAGGATTTAATTACCACACATAGTTTCCTCCTCTTGCCCCATCTCTCCTGACAATGTCTGACTCTTTTATTACTTCTACCAATGTATGGTTCCGCGAGTTCTCCATCCATGGCAACTATCCATGCATTAGTCTCGACAATGGGTGTCTAATGAAAAAATTCTTAATAGGTGTACAAATTAAATACAACACCAAAAGATTGCATTTATACAGCGCTGATCACATCAGAAGGACGCTGGACAGTCAAGGGTTTGCACCCAAGCTGGGGTTGGAGTCAGGAGGGGTGGAGGGCAAAAGGGTGATGGTGGGATAATGACTGTAGGCACAGTCGAAGAGGAAAGTCTTGAGATAGAACTTGAAGTAGGCAAGGGAGGGGGGAAGATAAAAGGGGCACATAAAGCTGTATGGAGAAAAGGCAGGACAAGGGAATAAAAGATCTGCTATGATCTAATAAAATTGCCATCAGCTTCAATGGGTTGAATGGCTTCCTTGTGTGCACGTACATATCCACCCTCCCAATGTCACTAGCCAGCAATGAAGAGCTGAAACTGATTTTACTCCTACTTTTGTCTCGGCTCAGATCAGGTGATAAAGTACAGACTGTACACTTGTGCAGATACACTATTGGGTAAATCTTAGAAAAGCATTTTCTAAGCTTATTTTTCTAAAAGGTCTAGAAAGGTTAATCAACATAATGAATATAAATTCACTTTTGGATATGTGAGCAGAGTTGTGTTTGATGATAATCGCATTTTCTAGTCCCAGTGCAAACAGTAATTATACAAGAGCAGAAATACAAGTATAACACATTCAACCTGCAGACTTCATTCGACTTACAAGAATATATTGCACAGATTGACTAATGGACTAATTTTTTCCCCATTGATGACAGTTTGATGGCATGACCCGCTCTGCCTCCCCCCATCTCCGCAGCATTGCCTGACTCCGCCACTGCCTCACCCCTCAGGCCTCCGAAACCCTCATCCACCATTTATTACATCTAGGATAGACTACTCCAACTCCTTGTTTGTCGGCCTTCCCAACTCTTCCCTGCACAGGCTGCAGATCATCCAGAACTCTGCAGCTTGTATCCTCCCCGCACTAGGCTCCGTAACTCTATCAACCCCATCTTCGCTTGACTCCACTGGTGTCCCACCTCCCACAGGATAGAGGTCAAAATCCTCACCTTCAAAACCGTCCACGGCCTTGCTCCTTCCTACCTCTGTGACCTGCTAACACCATATCAACCTGTCCACTCCCTCCGCTCACCAGGCTCTGGCCTGCTCCACATCCCCTGCCTATCTCACCATCAGCAGTTGGGTCTTCAACCTCTCTGCCCCACCCTTTGGACCTTCATCCCACAGTTCCTTTGCCTTGCTCGTTCCCTTGCCTCCTTGAAGGCACGTCTCAAGACCTTCTTCTTCAACTGCGCCTTCGGCCACCCTCCTACCCCTAACCTCCCTGCGCTCCTCCCCGTCCTGACGACGTGAAAGGCAAATGGAATTTGTTGTTGTTGCTGCTGTTGTTGAAGAGTAAACAGTAATAAATATTACTAGTGTTGGTAAGTGGGTAAAAGGGCAGTAAATAATTAAAGAGGAATTCTTGAAAGACAAATATTAAAAAGTATAGGGACCCGGAGGAAAACATTACACTAGGCATTCACAATTTTCTTCTAATACCAGATTTTTCCAAACATTACATTTACTTATAAAAGGAATAGAAACAACTCCAGTAGCTCAAAATGACAGGATTAAGTAAAAATGGCAGAGTCAAGATATACATACTGTGCGCAAATCTTCCTCAAATTTGTATGCACCACCTCCTGTCGCACATAATACTGTGTGCAGACTTGAAAAGTGTTTCTCCTTGCCCATCTGAATAAAGGCCCCCATGTTTTGGGTAGGAAACCGTATGAAATGCAAGTTCCCTTTACGCCCACAAATCGTCAAGTCTTTGAGTTGGAGATGCACATCACGGATGCCAGAGGAGCCATAAGTTACATTGCATGTCAAATACTTCTGTATACTTCTCAGGTTAATCACTTCCTCATGCTCCTCTTCAATAGTAATGTCATTCGGTTGAAAATAAACCAGCTTTACCAAGGTCCCACCAATGTCAATTCCAAACCACGGAAAGGCTATAAAGAAGGGAAAAATGGATATGTGAGATCTCTTACTATTCAAACCAATACATTATTTATTAGGTCAAAATTACAGCTAAGCAATTTTGCACACAGATAAATGGGGCAGAAAGGTGGGGGGGAAAAAAAAAATCTATTGCAGGTTTTCACTTTAACACTCATTTTGTAAAATCCTGGGATGGTATATAATAATACTTGTATTTGATACAGATTCTTTCCCATTGAAATATCTCACAGGTAATTGCTATGAAACACACTGAGTATTTGTAAGGAAGTGCAGATACCAATTTTCTACGCGAAAGGTTTTCCCAAATGCCTTTGAAAGTCATGCATCCTTCGGATGAACAGTCAAACTGAGAATCTATCTGCCTGCTCAAGTAGTTGTAGGTCTTGAAGGAGGCAAGGAATGGGTCGAGAGGGAGGGACTACAGGATGGAGTTCCAGAGGGTGGGGGCAGAGTGGCAGAAGGCCCGCATGCCAATGGGGGGCAGGCGAGGCGGGGGACGTGAAGCAGGCCGGTGTCTGCTGAGCGGAGGGAGTGGGGCAGGATGGCAGGGGATTAGGAGGTCACAGAGGTAGGAGGGAGCAAGACCATAGAGGGCTTTGAAGGTGAGGACCAGGATCTGGACCTGTATCCTCTGTGTGATGGGAAGCCAGTGGAGTCAGACGAGGATGGGGTTGAAAGGGTCACGGAGCCTGGTGCAGGAGAGGAAACGGGCTGCAGAGTTCTGGTTGATCTGCAGCCTATGGACAGAGGAGTTGCGGAGGCCGACTTGCATAGTCAAGCCTTGTTATTATGAAAGCGTGTATGAGGGTTTTGGTGGCCTGCGGTGTGACAGTGGCGGAGCTGGGAGATGTTGCGGAGGTGGAAGGCAGAGCGGGTCATGGCACAGATGTGGGGTATAAAGTTGAGAGTCAAACAAGATGCCAATGTTACGGGGTGGCTTGGAAGGTGGAGTGTGCAACCATGGATGGTGATGCTGTCAGCGCCTGAAATGTGGAGGCGCTGACAGGAGTCAATCAGGAGAGCCTCGGTCTTGTTAATGTTCAACTGAGGAAAGTTAGCTCTCATCCAGGACTTGATGTCTGACAAACATTCTGTCAGGACAGCAGTGGCCCTGGAGTCGAGGGTGGAGACACAGAGATAGTGTTGGGCATCATCCACCTACATGTAGAAGTTGATCCCTTGTCTGCGGAAGGATGCATGACCAAGAAAGAGCACATAGATATTGAAGAGGAGGGGACCGAGGGCAGAGCCCTGAAGATCGCCGCACGATACGGTGTGGAGGCTAGAGGAGAAATCTCTCCAAGGCCTTGGAGAGGGTACAAAGGAGATTTACCAGGATGGTACAAGGAATGGGGGACTTGAGTTATGTGGAGAGACTAGAGAAGCTAGGATTGTTTTCCTTGGAGCAGAAAAGGTTAAGGGGAGAGTTAATAGAGGTGTTCAAAATTATGAGGGGATTTTGATCTTGAGGGCAGTGAACAGGGAAAAACTGTTCCCACTGGCAGGCGGGTCAATAACCAGAAGACACAAATTTAAAATAGTTGCCAAAAAAAACAGAGGGGAGGTGAGGAGAAATTTTTTTTACACAGCGAGTTGTTTGGATCTGGAATACACTGCCTGAAAGGGTGGTGGAAGCTGATTTGCTAACAACTTTCAAGAGAGAAGTGGATAGATATTTGGGGAGGACAAATTTGCAAGGCTTTGGGGAGTGTGATTAATTTGGATAGCTCTTTCAAGAGCCAGCATGGCCTCCTTCTGTGCTGTATAATGCTATGATTCTATGAATTCGCTTTATATCTCATATATATGTATTTTTACATAAAATCCTAGGATTATTTTTATTATTAAAAGAAGAAACAATTGATTAGAAGGACTGCTGGCTTGGACTCTAGGAGAAACTCACTCCTCTTCTAGTTGAATGTTTCATCTGAAAGATGGCACCTCTGACAATGCAACAAAATGCTAGTACTTATTTATCAGCACTGACTACGTCTGATGATTCTTCCAACCCGGATGCAAGAATGTGACTAAGGATGCCAAGGCGACGCCTTAGGTTGGATGGTTGATCATAATGTAAAATTTTAACTGCAAGAACTCAAGTAGGTCCATGCAAATACCTATATTAAATAGCAATTTCCTAGGTTTAAGAGCGACTATTCAATAAATAGTTTAGAATCCCATCTAAAGAGATGTTAAGCTTCATATTCATCCCCATTTGAAAAAAACATTACTGACTGAATCCTGTCCAACACAAAACAGTCAAACTCAAATACTGCAGTTCATGTAGCTCCAGAGGAGGTAAATGTATAAAGATGTAGTCCTCTTGAAATCAGTGGGGAAATCACTTACCAGGGTTGTGAATGTGCACTGCCACCATTGCAGTCCACCTTAAATGTTATTTGCAAATTCGATGCTAATCCAATTTTTAATTTCACATTTTTAATAACTAGGTTACACAAAGGAATACTACAGTCTTGACTGAAAAAATTCTGATAATTAAAGTCTCTGCTTCCCAAATCGAACACCACTTAATTTTTCTTAAATCCTATTACCCTAACCTCTCAGCAGCAGAGGGCAATCTATCCACAACAAAAACGAATGATGGGTTTTCCCTGCTCGATCGTCACGTTTAATAGGCGTTCATCGATAAAATACAGTCACTGCACTTGAGAGTAATCATGTGAAGCACTTTGAGACAGCCTCCTGACGTAAAAGGCGTTCTATCAAATGCATGGATTATTATTTCACAAATCGCATCCTTAATAATAAATAATAATAATAAAATTAAAATAAAATCTTTTTCAGTTTTGTTGGGCTGCACCTGTCCATCCAAATTAATATATTCCTCCGTGAATTACTCGCCTGAAAAATATGCAGAAAGTTGTAAAGCCCCTTCACTGTATTTCATGGGATCGGATTCAAAATCTTTATGCATGAAAGGGGGAGGGAAGAACTGAATTCTGCATTGTGAGCAAATATTGCTTAGCCTGCGTTAATGGATCATAACACTGATCAGTTATTTACAATTACTTCAGCATCTCAAGATGGTCAACAGCCACAGCAGTCCAGGAAATGAAAAAAACTAAAGATGCAATAGTGTACCAAAAAGCAAACAACCCAAGGCACAATTCACCAGGGACTGCTGCACATGGGTCAGCAACCATTTTAAACCTAATTTTAAATTAAATTGCAATACATGTCGACAGCATAGGTTTAAATAAAAAGTAAAAGTATTTCCATCCAATTTATACAATTGTTGTCTGAATGAGGCAAATTACTATTATTGTGATATGTACTGTATTTATTAGAAAATCCCACCTTATGGGTGGATCACCAACAAAAATCTAAATCTTGTCATATTGAAGGACTGCGTTTTAATATCCATACCATCCTGTCCGCTCAGCAGCTTTGGACCGCTTCATGTCTCTCCCGCCCTGCCCGCCCCACGATCGGCAGTCAGGCCTTCAGCCTCTCTGCTCCCACTCTTTGAATTCCAGCCCATAGTCCCTTCATCTTGCCCCCTCTTGCATTTGATATAGCAGTTTATACATTAGAATGCACAGCACAGAAAAGGCCATTCGTCCCAACTGGTCTATGTCAGTGTTCATGCTCCACATGAGCCTCCTCCTGCCCTTCATCAACTAAGCCTTCAAGCATAACCTTCTATTCCTTTCTCTCTCATGTACCTGTCTAGCCTTCCCCTTAAATGTATCTATGCTATTTGCTGCAACAATTCCTTGTGGTAGAATGTGCCACATTCCTAGTACTCTGTGTGTGAAGAAATTTCTTCTAACTTCCCTATTTGATTTATTTGTGACTATTTTATATTGATGGCCCCTGGTTTTGGTCTCCCCCACAAGTAGAAACATTTTCTCTATGTCTACCCTATCAAAATCTTTCACCGTTTCAAAGACCTCTATCAGGTCACCCCTTACCCTCCTCTTTTCAAAAGAAGAGTCCAAGCATGTACAGCCTTTCCTGATAGATATAACCTCTCAGTTGTGGGATCATCCTTGTGAATCCTCTCTCCACAGGCTGCAGATAATCCAGAACTCTGCAGCCCGTGTCCTCTCCTGCACCAAACTCTGTGACCCCATCTCCCCTATTCTCGCCCGATTCCATTGGCTCCCTATCCTTCAGAGGATCCAGTTCAAGATCCTGGTCCTCACATACAAAGCCCTCCATGGCCTCCCCCCATCCTACCTCTGTGACCTCCTAACCCCCTACCAACCCGCCCGCTCCCTCCGCTCAGCTGGCTCCGGCCTGCTCCATGTCCCCCGATCCACCCGCCCCACCATTGGTGGGAGAGCCTTCAGCCACTCTGCCCCCAAACTCTGGAATTCCATCCCCCCCTCACTCCGGCTCGTCCCAACCTTAGCCTCCTTCAAGTCCCGCCTCAAAAACCTCCTCTTCGACCATGCCATCGGCCACCCCCCTTCCCCTCCCCCAGCTCAGGTCTGAAATGCTGTACTCTGTCCAACGCCTTGGGACATTCTCCCGAGGTGAATTTAAAGCATTTGTTTTGTATATATAGCTTATTTTTACAATTAAATATCAAAGGTGCAATCGTGAAGCTGAAGGTTTGCAACACAAGGCATCTAATGCAGTGCACCCTTACGCAGCTTTATACAGCCTTCATTCTATGAAGGATTACCGCTTAGTATACGTCTGTGAGCGAAAAGCAACAACCCAATAAAAGGGGTACACATTCCAGGATGTCTAAACCTTCAACCAGTTTCTGTTCATCCTCAGAATCCCACAATTGGTAAAGAGAGATGTGTTAATTTCACCTACGATTGACGACATGGTCAAGTTGGATTTTATTTGAAAAATGTTCAATTTGACACATGACAAAGGGCGGATTTAGATAGCTACAGTGGAAGACGATATATGTTTGCGAGGGGGCGATCCGCAGCTGCAGAACATATTTAACCAGATTCCATTTGACTGAAATCACAGAATAAACCAATCTGTACAATGCAACCTCAGAACTACGTTCAGCGTAATGGACACCATTTTGTGTGGCAAGGAACAGATCCTTTCCCCGCTCCCCCCACAACTCAGCAGCTTTGACAAAATTGTGCAATACAGTGCTGGATCATAAGCCAAAGCTTGACACATACAGTGCACACTATTATTCCTACGGCTGGTTCCGTGGCGGCTAACTAAGTCACAATTTGTACGATGGCTTTCAAAATCCCAGCTCCTGATAGGACTATCCATCCTGACACATGTACAGCCACCTGATTTATTTATAGCCACACAAACACTTGAGACTTAAAGAGAGATCAGTCCCAGGCTATTTTTAATGAGCTTTTAATCGACATTTTGAGCTGAAATACAAAAGGGGGAAAAAAGGAAGGGTGTCTAAAGGACAATAAAAATAACCTGACCCGCAGTCCCCCTCCCCTCCAAGGGGGTACCTCTGTTAAAAAAATAAAACATTCGCTCTCCGAGGAAGAAATTCAGGTTGTAGCCCAATCCCGCCCGCCGCCCGCCCGCCCGCCCGCCCGCCCGCCCGCCATAGGTCAGCGCGACAGAGCAGAGTGGCCCATTCTGAAACTGTGCGAGGAAAAGGTCTTCAAAAAGGAGAGCGCGGTTTGCCGGTTTCAGTTTTTTTAAAAATAAATAATTTTTAAAACACATTTAAATTCTAACTGAAGCACCAGAGCCCGAAGCCGTTATTTCGGACGCGGAGGACCTCCAAAAACCAGCGCAGTTGGGCGTGAAACCGCCCAACTCGGCAACATGGGCTCGAGAGCGCAGCGACAGCCGCTACTCACGGGGTCGGTTCTTTTTGACCGCATCCCACCGCGGGATGCTCAGGGCCGAGGCTCGGCTCTGCTCCTGGATGTAACCCGCCCGTGACGGCTTCTGCTCCTGCTGATGCTCTCCCTCAGGCTCCGGAGGCGCCTCTGGTCGCTGGCGGCCCTCCTCCTCACTCCGGCCGCCGCCATGGTAACCGTTCGTCACCCCGTTCACTTGGGTTCCGCTGCCGCTCACCGACTGCCTCTCCGAGCCACCCACTTTCTTCATGACCCGTGTGGGGATGTGGGGGCGGCGCGGGGGAGATGGAGAATACTGGCGGGTGAAGCGACAGCCGACCCTCACTGAACAGCTCCCCGAGCCCGGCAGCAAAATCCTCTCAGTCTCTCCGCATCGCCGCCGCACCGACTCGCTGCTCCGCCCGGGGGGCGGGGCAAAGCGGGGAGGGACCGGAAGGTCTATCTGACGGACGTCGCTCTACACCAATCGGCGTCCTCCGATAGCCGCCATGTTCACCAATCAGAGCTAGGAGGCGGGACTATGCCATTTCAAAACTATTTATTTAAAATAATTCATATCTACCGTGGGCGACAAGTAACACAAGTGATAGGTGGAACGGCAGATAAACAGGCGACGGATCCAAAGGCTTAACGGTGAGAAACTATATTTCTTTTTAAAAATCGAAATGATGAATTCTCTTCATCTGACAAGCAGTAAGGACCGGAAGTCTGGGTTGAAGTGATTGACGTGCTCATTCACCAATGGCAGTGCAGGTGCAGCTCTGATTGACATCCGCCCCGTCAATCAGGTCCGGGGGGGGGCGTGCTTCAAACGTGACGTAATTTGAAATCTGCTCACCAGCCGTTGGTTAACCGTCGCGGAGCTGAGTCAGAGCGTGACATCATCTTCATCGATCATCATCAATCATCCACTTCATCATCATCAATGGTCATCTTCATCCATCATCATCAATCATCTTCTTCATCCTCCTCACCCCCAGGGTCCGTCAGAACTCATCATCTTCATCCTCCTCCTCCTCACTCCAGATGTAGTTCCCGCACATTCATAATCATCACTCACGGTCCGGTCCGCGCACACTCACCTTCAGCTCCGCCCTCGCTCACTCACGCCCAGGCCGCTTATCTTCATCATCGTCCTCAAACCTGCACTTGTCGGATGTCAAATCACCAACTCGAGACGATCCACCTCCATCCTCACTCTGGATCCAGTCATCAACAACATCATCAGTCACTCCGGGTCCAGTTCCACTCAGCAACAGAACATCTCGTCTCGTCAATGTGCAAAATGTATCATTGGTATTGTTTTACAGTGACACTGAGGTAAAATCCAATCCCTGTTCAGCTTATCTTTCATATCACCCGATATGCACATTTCACAAAATATATTAAATGCGTATTGAGAAACAACTCACACTTATTTAGCACCTTTCACATTGGGAGAATATCTCGCAGTGCTTTACAAAGGCTGAGTGGGAGCTCGATCTGGGGAGAGAACAGGAATTGTTCAACTAGGTCCATCTAGTCCACTTTCTACCACCCTGGAAGTCGCTTGCTACAATAATGGAGGTGTTGATAGCAATTAATTCTGTGTGGATTAGTCTACAACACAGTGGAAAGCTTTGGGAACCGTAGATCCAAGTTGCCTAATTCTTACAACCCATACTATACTTCATGTCTCGTGGGAGCTGAGAAGTAGGGCGATAGGAAATACCTGTCCTACAGAGATGAAGGCTACTTAGTCAGATCCCCAAAGGAAGGAGAGGAAGCGTTGAACAATGGCGGAGTTTGACACCGAACCAGGGAGAAAGGGAAGGTGACTAGGTACAGTCAAAGCAAAAAGTCTTCAGGTGCAATTTGAAGACAGGTAAAGAGAGGGCAAGGCAGAGGGGTTAAGGCGGGCAGTTCCAGAGGTTTGAGGCGTGGTAGCTGAAGACATGGCCACCAATGTTGGAGTGGAGGGGTCAGGGGATTCAAGCCAACCGAGTGACGGGGCTGGAAGAGGGGTGTGAGTAGGTTGGAGAGGTAGGGGGATGCTGGAGCAGGGGTGGGTAAAATACGGCCTGCAGATCATATCCAGCCTGCCAATATCTATCCGGCCCTTCATTGTGTCTAGCTATAGAAAAAATTATAGTTTGTTCAGTCCCAGAAAGTCGCACAAATTTTGCACTTGAATCAGACCGGAAACATCAGGAAACACTGCTTAGTTGTACGCACGTTCCCTTAAGTGTTGAATCAGGCTGACGTCAGAAATGTACGGATCGGCAAATTTTTAAACGCGTGCGCGACAACTACAGCAATACTTGTCACTAAAGAGGACGTTAATTCGAAATGAGTTTATCAAAGAAGCGGAAAGTGGACCCTGAAGGCCGAATGTTCAAAAAAGAATGGACTTCTAAATATTTTTTTACCAGTGGGTGGAAAAGCTGTGTGCTTAATTTGCAAAGAAAGTGTGGCAGTGCTGAAAGACTATAACTTGAATCGCCATTTTGAGAGCATGCTTGCAAATATAAGAACGTTTCTGCCGAAGAAAAAGGAAAGAAAGCTGATGAGATGGTTGTTCGAATGCAAAAAGAACAAAGCATTTTCACAAAACAATTTGCGACCCAGGATGAGATTACAAGAGTGAGTTATGTGATTGCACACAAAATCGCCAAGAACAGCAAACCATTCTCTGAAGGAGAATTTATAAAGGAATGTATGGTTGACTGCCTCGATTTTATGCCCAGACAAGAAAAAACAGTTCGAGAATATTAGCTTGTCAAGGCGAACTATTGTGAGATGTGTCGAGGATATCTCGGAGAACCTGTATTTGCACGTTTTTCACTGGCACTGATGAGAGTTGTAATATCAATGACACAGCCCAGTTGATAATTTTTATTCGAGGTATCACCAAACATTTTGAGCTCACAAAAGAAATGGCATCAATGCAGTCAATGAAACGACAACTGGAGAAGACTTTGGAGGCAGTAAATAAGTGTATCTTAAAATTAGGAGTGGAGTGGAAAAAATTGGTGAATGTGACCACTGATGGAAGCCCAAATCTGACAGGCAAACATGTTGGGTTACTGAAAAGAATTCAAGATCAAGTCAAAGAAACAAATCCAGAACAGAATATTGTTTTTCTACACTGCATTATCCACCAAGAGGTCCTCTGTAAGAGTGTTCTAAAACTAAGCAATGTCGTGGACACAGTTACGAAAGTGGTCAACTACGTTCGAGCAAAAGGATTAAACCACAGGCAATTTGTAACTCTGCTTGAGGAATTGGAATCCGAGCACACGGATGTTCTGTATCACACGAATGTAAGACGGCTAAGTTTAGGAAAGATCTTGAAATGAGTGTGGAAACTGAGAACAGATTGATTTTTGGACATGAAACAAAAAGATTTGGATTTCCCACAGCTGGGTGATGTGAATTGGTTCTCTGATTTCGCATTTGCCATTGATATCATGGGCCACATGAATGAACTGAATTCAACAACAAGATTACATTTGTATAGCGCCTTTCACGTCGGGAGGATGTCCCAAGGCACTGGACAGTGTACAGCATTTCAGACCTGAGCTGGGGTCAGGGGGGAGAAGGGGGGTGACCAATGGCATAGTCGAAGAGGTGGGTTTTGAGGCGGGTCTTGAAGGAGGCTAAGGAGGGGGTGAGGCGGAGTGATTGGGGGATGGAATTCCAGAGGTTGGGGGCAGAGTGGCTGAAGGCTCTCCCACCAATGGTGGGGTGATGGGTTTGGGGATATGGAGCAGGCCAGAACTGCAACGGAAGGGGGCCTTTGTGCATGATTTGTATTGCAGTGTCAAATCATTTATGACGAAATTATTTCTTTTATCGCGTCAAGATAGGAAACAGGCTGTTCGCCCACTTTCCAACTTTGCAGCAGATTATCATTTGCAATCAAAGTCTTAAAAAGTATACTTCGTCACTACTTGACTTACATGATGAATTTTCTCGCCGATTCCAGGATTTCAATTTGATCGAAAATGACCTGTCTTTGGTTTCTTCACCTTTCTCATTTGATGTTGACAAAGCCCCATTTGATCTCCAACTGAAGCTTATTGACCTGCAATGTGATCCATTGTTTGCGGAGCAATTCAAATCAGTGCCGCTTCCCAGTTTTTACGCCTCTCTTAATGAATATTCCTTTCCAAAAATAAAGGCTCATGCCCGGAAGATGCTTATGCTGTTTGGAACAACATACATATGCGAGGAGAAATTTTCTGTGATGAAATTCAATAAATCAAAACAGATTTGTGATGACTGATGACCACCTTGCAGCAGTACTCTGCATTGCAACAATGGAGACGATGCCTGACTTCAATTGTCTGGTTAACCCACATCAACGCTTTCATTCTTCCCATTGAGTGAACTTCTCACATTCTCATCAATATGTGAATAAATGAATAAATATTGAATAAATGTCTGCCCAATGAGTTGTTTATATTTAACCTAATTTTAGTGTCAATTATATAGACTTCATTTTATGCATGTACAAGTGTAAGACTTGATTTTGTGCTATTAAGCATTTGCATCTATATTAAGTGTGTGGCCTGCGAAGCTTACCAAAACTCATGAAGTGGCCTGCAAGCCAATATAATTGCCCATCCCTGTGCTAGAGTATAAAGTAATTTGTAGGCGAGTATGAGGATCTTGAAATGGATCCATTCTGCGATAGGGAGCCAATGGCCAGGCAAGAACTGGTATATTAGGACTTCAGAGTTTACCATATACTGACCTATAGATACAGAAATTAGTGTTAATGCGATGGTAAAATTGAGAGATAAAGAAATGTGTAAGAAATGGCTGATCCAACAAAGCTACAAATTGTGTTGAAAGTCTATTTATTGCTGGGTCAGGTCAAGACAAAGTGTTTATTTCTAGAGTATGTTGAATGTTTATTTCTAGAGTAAAATTGTGCAATTACAATATTTGCTCATAACATTCACATGCAGCTCTCAATAGTGGTTTAGCATAGTGCTACCCCATTATAACATGGCTGAATCTAATGTCTTAGATGCCATGCTAAAATAAAGCACAAAAATGGTTGACTTCCAGGTCAGAACCCACCACTAATGTCCTTTTCTTCCTGAAGTTGCATTAGCAACACTTGCTGCAAATAGTGGGCGCTGACTGTTTTTTTAGCGCAGGATGTTGACTAGTCTGTACTGAAAGTGTTATAAAAAACCTTGTACAGTGCAGACTCATTATAATGCAATATTTGTATCCATAAAATCCCAATCCACATTATAGCAAGGTATATTGTGAGTATAATGAACACGCTTGCAACCAGCTGATGTAAACAGAGTACCATCACTTCCTGTTTTCTGTCCAAAGTGAGAAGTGACATTGGTGGTAACCTGATGACCCAGAAGTCTGAC